CCCCTTCCCTTCCCTTCCTTTTCTGAGTGTTTTCTTGTTCCCCCTTGGTCAAGTAGCTCTTTCCTTGTGCTTTTGCTGCATTTTCCAGGCTAACTGCCCCAAGTATGAGTGCTGGGCTTGTAAGTGCAGGCCACTGCATGAAGCTTTTACTGTGGTTCAGAGCAAGCAAGGATCTAACTCAGCCTGTTGGAATTCCCTGACAGGCTTTTTACCTGAGCTGTTGCCCCTTCTCTACCTTTTCTTTCCCTTCCTTGTAGTTTCAACTCTGTTGAGTTTTTCTGCTCTCACATATCCAAGCATTCAGTAAGTAAACAAATAGTTGTGTGTCTGTGAAAGCTGATATCTAAGTAAGGTTTAAAGGGACCTGTGGTGGTGCTGTGGTCATTGAACCTGATGAGCTTAGAAGAATCCTTAGGGGATGATGATATGAGACTAAATTTGTACTCTGAGGTAATATGTGGATGACACAATATCCCTGAGCAGCAGATCTTACATCCATCTGTGGTGGGTTTGTCCTTTCTTTCTTTCTTTCTTTCTTTCTTTCTTTCTTTCTTTCTTTCTTTCTTTCTTTATTTCTTTATTTCTTTATTTCTTTATTTCTTTATTTCTTTATTTCTTTCCTCCTTCCTTCCTTCCTTCTTTCTTTTTTTCTTTCTTTCTTTCTCTCTTTCTTTTTTCTTCTTTCTCTCTCTTTTTTTTGAGATTTTATGGATGAGCATTTGTTTTAGTTAGAATCCACATTCCTCAGTTTGAACTAAAATGGGAGGGATCTGAAAACAGAAGTTTTTTTGCTGGCAGAACAAATATTCAGAAAATTGCTGTTGAAAGCAGATGACAATGAAGCTTAAGGCTCAGGAAATAATAGATTTAAAGGTTTGTAAATGAAAGAGAAACTCAAGAAAGTGCAGCTATATGTGAGGTCTGGAAGTAATCTGCTAAGAGATTCATGTTGACTTCACAGTCTTGCAGTAGCCATAAAGATAAATACAATTACTGTTAAAATGAAGACTTAGAAAACAGACTCAAAACTTCAAGAATTCCAGGGGTGTCAATGGGGACATAGGTTAAAGCTTTGTAATTTTAAAAGAATATCAGATGAATAACCTGCATGCCTGCTTAGATTCTGGAGTTTCTTAGCTGTGCATATTTTTCAGGTTCAGAGCAGTTTGTTGGAAGAATGCAAGATTTTCGATTCTACAATGTGTCACTTACAAACAGGTAAATGGATGCTGTCTACTAAAGCTTGAGATACTACGACAAATTCAATTCACTCAAAGTACCTTGGAGACTATATAATTTTTTCATCTTCATAGCAATTGGCAAACATCATCTAATTTATATTTGTTCATGTTTACTTTGGCCTAACTTACATTCATTCACTAGTATTTTTCTGCCAGTAACTCTGTATAATATGGGGTGATCAAAATTATTCACAAAAATATTCTCTAAGAAAATAGGTTGATGCAACCTAGATTGGAATGTGTTTTTTCAAAAATTCTATATAAAGTAGATGCTAATACTTAAAAATTGACTTCAGAACTGCTTTTAGAAATTGTGACTGTTGTAGAGTGTGAAACTGTAAAGCCATTAGTTTTACACACAAGAGTCTCAAGGGATGGGGACTCTATACCGATTGGACATCTGAAGAATAGCTGTGCATTGTTCTGTATGTTTTACAAACCATCATACAGAATGTGATGAGTACTCACCAAACATTTTCTCATCTATAGAGTAGTATAGAAATCTACCTTAGGGTTTCCTGAAGACAAACTATTTCTATCTTAAGACCATGATTCCACTGGAGTTGAATCCTGAGGAATCCTAGTTTAGAATCTAGTTGAGAAAGTTTAGGTGTGTTGCAACTCCTGATTGTCAGCTTGACGATATCTGGGATTCATTAAAACCAAAATGGGTTGTGAGAGAGGTCTTCTTAATTAAATCTTTAAAAGCAAGAAAACCCACTTCTAATTTAGATCATTTGACGTGGAAGATTCACCTTCAAACTACACCACATCTTCTCCTGGAAGCTTCCATAAAGAACATGGAAGGGGAAACCTTGCTCTCTTTGCCTGCTTGTTTTTGAAACAAGTTCACTCCCTCACTGGTATTAGAGCCTATTTGGAGGGAATTCCAGCGTATGCTGAAGACCAGCTGGGACATCCAGCCTCATGGATTGATCAAATACTGGATTCTTGATGTTCCACTGGTAGACAGCCATTGTTGGACATGCTGAACAACAGACTATATATATATGTCTATATAGTTATCATATATGATATATTAATATTATTATATTATATGTTATGTATAGGAACAGAGCTTATAGGACATATACATACACAAGAACATAGCTTATAAAATGAATAATATATATAGTGATAAAACATTTTATATATATATATATATATATATATATATATATATATATAGTATTCATTCTATAATTTCTGATCCTCTACACTGACTAATACAGACGTTTTGGTTAGAGAATTTTGTAGTGTAAGAGTCACCCAAGTAGTGTTGGTTTGAAAGGCATACATAAGAAGTCATAGAGAACAGCCAAGGACTGACTTTGTGTGAGGGTTGTAATATGTGAAGAAAGCCCAGAAGAGTCTACTGGTAAAAGGGAAGCCCGATTGTAGCAAGAGGCCCTGACATTTTGGACATGTCAGTGATTCATGAGATAACTACCAAGGACAGCAGCAAGTGTGAAGTGGAACCAGGCTGAGCCTAGGAGACACGCTCTTTGCAGCAGAGAGCAGAGCCAGAGAAATGACCCAAGTGCTTTGAAGGAGCCCAGAAGACCATGAGTGTATCCCAGATACTGGACTTACACTATTGGAGACTGCTTTTTGCTTTATTTATATTGTGATGTTTCCCCCCAGTCTCTTTCTCCTTGAAGTAAGAAAATATTAAACCTAAATTTTTTACAGGAGCCCACAGTTGAGAAATTTTGAGCCTTAAAAAGAGATTTTTGGGTACTTAAGAGGATGGATACTTAAGAGATTGAACATTTAATGTATTTAAATTTGCAAAGACTGTGGGACTTTTCAAGTTATTTGTGTGTGTGTGTGTGTGTGTGTGTGTGTGTGTGTGTGTGTGTGTGTTTTCATCTGAAGTAGAAAGACCCACCTTTTATTTTTTAAGGTTTATTTATTTCATTTACAATACATTGTAGTTGTCTTCAGACACACCAGAAGAGGGCATTGGATCCTATTAAAGATGGTTGTGAGCCACCATGTGGTTATTGGAAATTTAACCCAGGACCTCTGGAAGAACAGCCAGTACTCCTAACATCTGAGCTATCTCTCCATCCTGTTATTTGTGCTTTTAATGTGAGATCTTGAAGATTAATAAAAAAGAAAAGGTTATGGTTTAATAGTTCTGTATTTGTATGTCAAGTTCACAAGAAGATGGTTGTTTTGGGTAGTCTTAAATCAACTTGACATAAACTACTTCATAAGATCTGGCTGTAGGCAAGCCTGTACGGCATTTTCTTAAGTGGTGATTGATGTGGGAGGGCCCAGCTCACTGTGGGAAGGGCCACTCCTCAGCAGAGGATCCTGGGTTCTATAAGAAATCAGGCTGAGTAAGCCATAGCAAACAAGCAAGTAAGCAGCATGCCTCTGTGATCTCTGTGTCAGCTCCTGAATCTAGGTTTCTACCACATTTGGGTTTCTGTCTTGACTTCCTTTCATGATGAACAGTAGTATGGAAGTGTAAGCTGAAAAAATTCTTTCCTCTCCAAGTTGCTTTGGCATTTTATTATAGCAATAGAAACCCTAAGTAAGACAATGTGTTTCTATGGATGAGTTTACCTTTTTTATTTCTTTAATATTTATTCATTTATTTGTGTGTGTGCGTGTGTTAGTATGTAGGAAATTGTATACATAAGTCAGTGGACAACCTTAGCTGTCCATTCTTATCATCTACCTTGTTCTGAGGCAGGGTCTCTCTTGTTTCAGCCATTTCAGCCTGCTCCAAACTAGTTTGTCAAAGGCATCTAGGAATTCTTTTGTCTCTTCTATCTCTGAATATGAGTGGTAGGATCACGGATGCATACCACTAGCACTGTGCCTGGCCTGTGCATGAGTTCTGGAGGTCTAAATTCAGATTGTTATGTATTTACTGCAAGAGTATCTAGCTGCTGAGATATTCCTTGCCCCTCATTGACTCTTTTCAAGAGATTTTTTTCTCTCATATCTTTTCAAGAAATACAGAGACTAGTGTGTTAAAATTCTGCATGTCAGGACTAGCTCTCACAAATTTGGGAAACATCTCAATGATGCTACTGTGGTAAACCCATAATCTGTGGAATCAGCAGATGCCTGAACAAGGATGTTATAACATAGGGTGGGGAGGAACTAAAAATGTTGGAACCCTTACCAACTATTATTCACCCCTCCTTTGCCTATGCCTACTATGCTGAAGAGTAATGTCACTACAGTTCTTTGGAATAAAGATTTTTTTCTAGCCAGAACAAAGATTTCATACCAGTTATTGACTTTGGAACACATTCAATAGCTGATGTCAGTGGAAAATCATTAGTGAGATTTAGAGTAGTCACTTCATGTCCTTTGGTGAAAGAAAACGCCACCCACCTCCACCATCGCCTCTCCGGGACTGAAAGGATGTCTGCTTCCTCTAGTTTGACTTGGGTTATTGGTGTTGACTGTCTGGAAGACTATGCTGAGAAGGATGGGGAGAGAATGACCTGTGGTGATCTAGAGCAGGCATATTTTTCTTAATGGAAAAATTAAATAGATATGCTTGCCCCTGGCATTCTTATCTGGCTATTGGCAGCTGGCTTATAGTCTGAAGCCACTGAAACCTTTCAGGAAGCCAGAATCTATGAGTCACAGGAAACCACTGACAAATAGCCTTGGCCTCACTCCCTTCACCCAAATGAGAAGCCTATAAAATGATACATGCTTTCTTATGCTTTCCCCTGAATGAACTGGAGATGTCATCTTAAATCTCATTATTTTCAATATATTGCTGTTCACTCACAGTGTAAGTCAGTTTAAAACCTAAATATATGACACCTTTCTACATTATCCCAAATAGGCACAGAGACATTGAATTTAAGTAAAATCCCTTGATAGAGAGCAAGGTCTTGTACATGCTGCCTCCCTTCCTCTTCCTTTCCTCTTCCCCTTTTTTCCAAGTCCTGGGAGTTGAACACAGGACCTCACAGGCAGGCAAGAGGCAAGTGCTGGCCTCTGACATATGCCTCCAGCCCTCTTTGTATTCTTCATTCTGAGACATGATCCCAGTAAGTTGTCTAGCTACCCTAGAATGCATTCTGTAGCTCAGGCAGGTCTTAAATTGAAACTCTTCATGAGAACATCCAAAGAGCTAGAATTACAGGTGTGTTCCACTAGGCTTGCTCAGTCTTGATGTAAAACATTCACACTTTAGGGTCATTGAGATGGCACAGATTTTAGGATCATTTTGAGATGGCAACAGTGATAGCCGTGTAAACCTGATGACCTGAGTTCTGTCCCAGGTACCCAGAGAGGAAGGAGAAAATTGTTCTGGAAAGTTGTGCACTAACCTGCACATTCCTGTTGTCACACACATACATATACACACTCACACATACACTCACAGACACACACACTCATACACTGACACACAAACTCATACACTCATACACACACACTCACACACACACACATATATATACATGCATATTCTCACACAGACATACACACTCATGCATACACACATATGTGCACACAGACATACACATTCATGCATACTCACACACACAAACACATACTCACACATACACACATATGCACACACATATACACTCATGCACACTCAACACATGGAAACACACACATACTCATAATCTTTTTAAAGTTAAACCAAAACCCTACCATTTTAAGAGTACATTTGTCTTAGTTTCGTTTCTGTTGCTGTGACAGAATAACCTCACAAAAGCCACCTCATGGGTGTTTTTAGGCTCACAGCTCAGGGTACCATCCATCATGATGGAGAAGTGAAAGCGGAAAGAGCTCAAAGCAAGTGGTCATATCGCATCCATGGTGGAAAAGTGGGGAGGAAGGGGTGCTTGCTTGTAAGAACTCAGTTTGTTTTTCTCTACTTCATATAATCCAGGATGTTTTTCAAAGGACATCATCCTGACCACAGTTAGGACGGGTCTTCCACATCAGTCAGTATGATCTAGACAGTGTCTTATAGGCATTCACAGGGGGTAACGTTAACACAGACAATCCCACAGGCATGCCTGGAGCCTTGCCTTCTAGGTGCTGCTACATTCTGTGAAGTTAACAGTCAACACTAACCATCACAGGACTTTAGGATAGTGAATATATTTATTGTCCAAAATGAGTTGTATGTACCATTGAAAAAAAAATATCAAAGCTAAATGGCCACCCTCCAAATAACAGAAGAATAGTATCAGCTCTTAGGAGTCCTGTCATTGTGAGGTTGTATGTCCTTACCTTCTTCTCTGGACCATTTCAGAGAGATTCTAGAACTCTTTTCTGGAGACCTTCCTCACTTGCACATCCAGCCACACTGCCGATGTCCAGGCAGCCACCCCCGTGTCCATCCCTCCGTTCAGCAGTACTGCATTCCCAATGGTGCGGAAGACACACCCCAGCATCAAGTGCCACGGCTGAATCCTGACGCCCACCCTCTTTCCTTCATCAATGATGACAATGTTGCTACTTCATGGATCTCTCATGTGTTTACAAACATTACACAGCTCAATCAAGGAGTGGTCATTTCTATAGACTTGGAAAATGGACAGTACCAGGTAATCAAGGACAAGGCCGGGTGGGTATACATGCTCTAGCAACTACAGTCAAATGATTGCCAAGTTCATGGTTTCAAGAAAAGAAATTGTGCTCTCTCACATTCCTGAAGACTCAAAATGTGTAGCCATGGTGTTGGCAGTCAGGGATACATTCCCTCCAGAGACCCTGACAGAAAAGAGTCTTGCCTGCCTCTTTCAGCTCCTGGTGATAACTTTTAATTCATGGGCCTCTAACTCCAGATTCTGTCTCCATTTACACAGAGCCCTCTTCTGTGTTTCTCAGAATTTGTTAACTTCCCTTCTCATCTTCTCTTTAAATGGAATAATCCCATTTTGAGATCCTAGGTTCATTAGATCTGTAATGGCCATTTCCAAGAAGGTCACATACACAGGCATCTGTAGTTACTTCTTGGACATAGTCACTAGTTTGCACAATTTAACCTATGGCATAGCAAAACATAGAGTTGTTATAAATGAAATCACAATAGCTAAAATCCAGTGTTTAATGTTTAGAGATTGATATTAAAATGGAATTTATGAAATGTTTGGACCTTCTTTTATTAAGAACATACATCAACAGAGCAGGTGCTTATTCATATGCACTTTATGAGAGTCATTTTCTTTGTTTGTATCTTTAAAACAAACATAATTTGTCTGTTGTAATTTATAAAATCATTGAGAATAGGAAGAAATATGTAATTATAGAATGTGCTACCTTGATTATAGGTCTGAAGTTTCTAGATGTTTCTTAAGTTGTCTATCACAATAACTAGGAGGAAGTTTGAGCCTTAATATTCAAATATGATATCTTGGCTTCCTCCCTTGTATCTGTGTCAATTTCACCACCCCTGACAGTAACGGAGCTCTCCATTCCCAGGTGTTTCAAATCGTCATTCAGCTCTCCAGACCACAGCCTGTGGCAATACAGATCCAGAGGAAGAAGGCAGACAGCTCTCCCTGGGAGGACTGGCAGTATTTTGCCAGAAATTGCAGTGTTTGGGGAATGGAGGACAATGGAGATTTGGAAAATCCTGATTCTGTCAATTGTCTCCAGTTTCCTGAGTATGAACATCTCAAAAAGTAATTTTTAATGAACCAGTGCTTTAGTATGAGTCTGTGGGCCAGCCAACTCCCTAGGCTGGAAGAAATCTCTCTCCATCATTGGCTTTAGGGAGATTGAGTGACTCACAGCCCCCTTAGAGTTGAGTTTTAAACTGTTTAAGGTTCCTGTAAGGGTTGGGTGTATTCCTGTTTACAACCCACTGCTGTTATGTAACGATATCCATCTTATTCAGTCAGGCATCTGAATTTGCCTTCCCAAGAATCTCTTAGTCTGCCTCTCTTTACTGATATGTGAAATAAAAGAATGTTTCCTCAGACTGAAAAACTTGAGAGTTTATTGACACTGTATAGAAATAAACCATGCTTGTGATTTCTATTTGATCATTACTGTGAATATATTTTTAAAATATAAACTTTCTTTCCTTGATAGTTTTAACCCGTTTTCCCATGGTAACATCACCTTTGACCTTCTGACATCTGGAGAGAAGCATCGTCCTGGGTACAATGCCTTTTATAACAGCTCAGCACTTCAAGAATTCATGAAAGCCACTCAAATAAGGCTGCACTTGCGTGGACAGTACTATCCAGCTGGGCACACTGTTGACTCAAGACACAGATACTATGCAGTGGATGAGATTATCATCACTGGGAGGTATTGTTTGTTACCAGAGTTTTGAGTGCACTGTGATTTTTTCACTGTGAGTTTTCTTCTAAATGAGGTATTTGTTGTACTATTAAAAGAAAATGCAGTAGCTGAAATCTTGGAGCAAGCCAGGTCTAAGTTTGATATGATAAAATAACTTGTTCTTCCACAATTTTACAGGGAGATTCTCGTCTAAGACATCCATGTTCTTTATGTAGCCTTGTTATCAATAAATTTGTAGAAGATATTCTGAACACACAGTATTCCAAAGGTTGGAATACATGTAGCTTAGTGGTTGAGTAAACTTAATCCTCAGGTTGTAATTTTTAAAAAAGGAAGAAAAAAGGTATAATACTTTAAACAAACATGACAGAATTCTTCATGCATTTTACTTAGTTTTAGTATAAAACTTAAAATATTCCAATATTAAAAATAAGAAAGACAATTTGACTTGTAGTTGTAGTACCAGATAGTTGTATGATACCTGATCTTCTCGAATTCATAGTTCAGAGGTCCATAGTGTAACAAGTCTATCATCAGATAAAAGATGTTTATGCCCTTAATTACTGATAAATTTATCATCAAAGTTAAGAATTTGACTCACTTAAAAAATAGTTTCAAATCTAGGTACCATACTATCTAGTGTGACACAATACATATACTTGAAATGGATTGTTGTAGAAAAATGGTATGTCTTGAAGGTTTAAAGAGATGCTCCTGAAAAACCCAGAAGACATAAAATATCAAAAATTATTTTATGTAATATAATAACAAAAAGAAATACTACTTAAAAACTTGATATTTTTCATCTCATTTTGAAACAAAGAACAAACATTGGAATCTACAGTTTCTTCCTAAGTGTAGCTTGAATAGTTTCAGCAAACGCCTTCCTATGACAATTTGCACATGGTTAGTGGGGTCACTGTGCACCTCACTTCCCTTCCTAACATGTCTTCACAGTCATCTTTACAAGTCACTGGTGCAAGTCACCCAGGCAACTGGAGAGAGTACAGTTCCTTTCTCAAATGTGCAGTATGTATATACATAAGCTCTTGGGTGTGTTGACAGTGACTTGCTTCTGAGGCATGTGTGCCCTTCACATTCACAGATGCCAATGCCACGGCCATGCCAAGACCTGTGACAGAACCAGACGACCTTACAGATGTCTGTGCTCTCCACACAGCTTCACTGAAGGGTCTCAGGTGTGTTGGTTCATCCCAGAAATCTCAAAGGAAAAGGGACGGGTAAATAGAAGTGACTAGAAATTTAATTATGATCCAGCTTCAGAATATACTTAAATGAATAAAAATTTAATGTATTTGATTTTTTAAAAAAATATTATTATGGAGAAATATAGCTATTGATAAAGTTGAAAGGTGTGTATTTAAAACTAATCTCAGACAAGCTATATCTGAAACAAAACCATAAGACTTTTTCCTTCCCTTCCTCTCCCTTTCTTGGTTTATCAGCCTTGTATGATGACCAAAATTATATCTAAATTGTCTTGATAGACTGATGCCAGACAATGAAAACTTTGATTTCTTTCTCTGAAAAATATTTGTTTGAAAGTACCTGTGCCACAAGGGCATGGGGCACACTTGTGATCACAGCATGTAAGGACGAAGATGGGCTTAAAGCATTTGCATTACAAGCACGGAGACTTGAGTTGCATCCACAGTGTTCATAGGAAAACCTGGGCATAGTAGCGCACACTTGTAATCCTCTTGTTAGGGGGGCAGAGACTGGTGGATATCTGGGGCTCACTGGCAAGTTATCTCAGTTCGTCTGATGAACTGCAGGCCAAAGAGAGATGCTTTCTGAAAATGAAGTGGACAGAACCCAAGGAAGAACACCCAAGGCTGTCTTCTGTCCTTCACATACACATCACATGTGAACACAAATGAACATGATATGGACAGACTCACACATTTCTAATTTAGGTCTAACAGGGAGAGAAGTTCACCAAGTCTATGTGAGTCTGTCAAGCACCCTGATGGAAGAGCTAGGGTGCACTAATCTACGATACCATGTTTATATAACACAAACGATACAAGTGCACTTGTAGTATTGCTTATAATATTTGAAACTTTAATACTAGCAAATGCCTGATTATCATAGAAAAATCACAGGCAAAATGTCACTTTTAGTTATGATGTATACAAGATTGCATTCTTTAAGCATTTTGTTGATTTGAGAGATTAAAAACACTATTTGATTAAAACCAAGGATTGGGTCACATTTTATCTGTTTACTGAATGCTGTCACCAAGCCACCGTTTCTTATTTTGTGTGCTCATGGCAGGGTGTGTTCATATTTGCGTGAGGTATATTTCTTGATATTTGGAAACTTCTTGTCTTTAAACCACCTTTCAGGGTTTTGGCAAGATGCCTTTCTGTCCTCTGAAAGACTTAATCCAGTCTAAATTTCTCTCAACTGCAATGTGAGTGTGTATGGCCTCAAAGTCCAGAACGCACTGTAAAATGCACATGCCATCTGGTGCTTGGTGCTGTGCTGGAGATGAAACAAGAGGCCAATGCGTTCAGGCTAAGTGCTTGCGCTGAGCCATAGCCTGGGACTCTATTTTGTTGTACACATTTACTTGTTTGCCAGTGTTCATCTTTAGACAGGGTCATTACAGAATGCTCTCACTGGCAATAAACTTGCTCTGTAGTCCAGGTAGGATTTGAATTTATGATGCTCTTACTTCTGTGTCTTGATTATGGGTATGGCAGGCCTGCACCACCGAATCTGGGAATGGGAAGATTAATATTTATAATAACTTTGGTTGTACGGCTTACGATATTGTTTCCAAAATTAAATGAGTTAGATTGATCAGTTTACTCATTGCTGAGCCATCAACACAAATGTGCACATGCATGTTACACACACATACACACACACGCACACACACACACACACACATTAAAAACTGCACTGGATGAATTTAGCAGAGTACTGAACCTAGATGGTACCCACAAGCTAAGCTCTCCTCTGGTATATATTTTCCCCTCCTGATGTGGATACTCACATTTCCTAATGACATGACATTGCTTAGCTTCCCTTGCTGTTAAATGATACAGACTGTCTCGGCCTCCCTTCCATCTCCTCCTCTTCTTCTCATGGCCCTGCTCATTTTATTCTTTCTAATTGCTCATGTTGATGTGCTTGACAGTTTATGATTCTTGGCTGATTTCATGCCTCTCCTTAAAAATAGAGGCATAAAATGAGTCAAGGTTCATGATTGGTTTTGGAGACAAGTTGTGATTGCCAGACTTGGACTCAGGTGGTGCCTGCTGGGTTCAGAACAAGTGAATCAATTAGCTATAATTTAGGATGGGAATATATATCAATGCTTCTTATTTAGATAGGATCTTTGGGACATATGAAAGTAGACCTGTGTAAAATGTAGACCTATTTTGATAATCTGTGAATTTAAGTCATAAATAAAAAATGCCTCATGTACAACTTGCTGAGAAAAGTTTGCCAACCATAGCTTGAAGGAAAAATGACAATAAACTATTAAATTGTTTTCAAATCATCCAACCATAAGGTTTTCATGTTCTGTTTTTAAAAAATGTTTTGATTTGAGCCATTCATCTCCTTTGGGACATCATGTCCTTTTGTAAAGGCCTCAAAAAGGTAAAGGAGGAATGTTTCCACTTCACAGTTGTCAGGCCAACCATTAAGGGTAGTCCTCAGTAAACCGGGCTTTTGTGAATTATCACCATTGGGTGAATCAGTGAAAATGTGAGACTGAGAGCATGCTGGTTGTGGGCAATTTTCTCTTCTGTGAGAAAGTGTGTTTAGAAGACTTGAAAGGGAATTAGCTGTGGAGAAAGGGGAAGTATATACTCAGAAGCCACATTTGCAGGGCCTCGTCCCACACTCTCCTCGCCTGTTCATAGACATGAATCATGATCTGACAGTAGGAACAGTGTTTACACAGTTTTAAAATTCTTTTCAGATAAAAATTTCATTGATTTTATTTTACTTAATTAGGAGACCTATGCAAAATGTACTGATAGATTGATAGACTGACAGACCACAACATTCATTATTCAAAATATAGCCCAACTGGCTGTCTCTTACTGCCAATGGCTCATTGTATGGTTTAACCCTTCAAAAGAAGGAGGAGAAGGAGGAGGAGGGGAGAAAGAGCAGGAGGAGGAGGAGAAGAAGTTGAAGAAGGAGGAGGAGGAAGAGGAGAAGGAGAAAGAGAAGGAGAAGAAGAGGAAGAAATAATAGAGAATGAAAATCAACACTATGCTTGTTCTGAAATGAATTAAATCTGGACTTATTTTTTTCTGTTATTCCATTATAATTTATAATTGCTAGAACATGGGCCTTAGGAAGGCTCCCTAGCTATCCTTAATATTTCTGAGGATGTCTGATACATTTTGGCGTTATATTGTCAGTTTAAGTTCTTGTCTTTAATATATGATATATACGATAAAATAATGGCATATTTTATCAATAGAGAACACTTTTAGAGGGCTTGTGATGTGACTTTCCAAGGAAGACCAAAGCTGCACATGGTTAATGTGCTCAGTCTAGTTGGAGATTGATCTGAGGCAAAAAGAAAAAAAAAGAAAAGAAATGTAAGATACTAGATACTAGCCATTAGCCTAGCTTTCAAGTGGAATTAAGTATTTCAAAGTAGAGTGAGCATTTCATGACATTGAACTTACATTAATCATCAGATAGCTTGCAAGGCGAACATATTTTCCAATAAGTTCCTTTATTTTGTTAACAATCAATACTGATGCACGTATTGTGGGGTGTCTAAAAAGCTTTCATTTTACATAACTGTAGATTCACATAAAGTTACTGAGAAAGTAATCCAGAGACTTTGTACACCTGTGCTCACGTGTACTCACAGTGACATCTTCCAAAACAAGTCGTCTTTTTTTTTTTTAATTTCAGGATGTATGATTTGTATACCATAAAAGGTACTCATTTAATATCCAGAGTTGGACAAGTCTGAACAGTTGTGTAATCATAAGCCTATCAGGATACAGGACACACCCCTTCCCCCACCCACAGATATTCTCTTAGGTTTTGACATCAGGACTCCCACCTCTAACCTCCAGTCTCATTTAGCGTCAACTGCTGTTAATATCTATTCTTCTCTTACACAGGCTTTAACATCTCACTCTACCAACTCCCTCTTTTTCTACGTGTGGCAATGTCTATATCAAACACCACTTGTGGCAATATCTACATTATATAGGAAGCTGGAGTTTTACTTGATCAGGCTACCAACTTGATCAGATCCATCAGCCAGTGTAAATAGAAATCATACAGCACAATAGAGCCAAGGGATTTTGCAAGTCCAGGGCTGTATATTTATATATTTGCTTATGTGGCTGCATAGCATAATATACCTCCCAGTGCTCTTGCCCTCTTATCCACTGCCCTGTGACTTATTAGTGTGCCTTGGAGACAGGTTCTCACATAACCTCATGCTTGTTATAAGCTTAGGCAGCCTTTGAACTCCTGATTCTCTTGTCTCTGCCTCTGAGGGACTAGAGCATCAACCTTCACCACAATCCCCGGTCTTATCTGGGACTTCCATATTCAAGTGTTGGCTGAATCTACTCTTCACAAAGATGTGACTAGGTGAACCTTGCTGCATCAGAATTCAGCGTCTGTTCCCTTTACTAGCTGCAGTTCAGCCAAGAGTGATGCAATGTCCAGGAAGTCTGCCAGCACTGGTACTCCACTGGCTGCTTAACTATTCCTTCATCACTGTGTGACATCATTACCTGCAAGGAGAGCCAAGCCCTCAGAGTGTAATTTATTAGTGACCATGAATGATTCTCTTATTTTTTTTGGCTCTAATGTCTCACCCTTTTATAACATTAATCCTGGGTCTTATGAATTAACTAAGATCAAACACTCAGTGTGCATTTTCGTTAGTATTACAAATAGCAGAGCCAGCATGAAACATTTTATTTAATAAGCTTTCCTACCATTCAATAAGCCAAAAGATGCCAACATTACACTTCACAATGCTCATTATGTTAAATGGATATTTCCTGTTATTTTACAGAATAAATTCCTTTACAGCAATGAAATCCAAAAGTGTGAGTCACCATGAGTAGCCTGCCCCTCACTGATGCTATCCCATCCATCACACTTCCAACACCACTTCCGCCTCTCTGCAAACAGTAAGATGCTACTCCAAATGTAGTCCATTTTA